GAACGAAGAGGAGCTAACAGATGCTAACAGAAGCTATGTGAAGCTAAAAGGAGGTAACCAAAGATAGCAGGAGCCATCCAGAGCTAACTGGAGCAAGTAGGAGCCAACATGAGTCCTAATGAGCTAACAGAAGCTAACAGGAGCCCAAACACACTGACTGGAGCTGACAGGAGCTAAAGGAGCTAACTGGAACAAAGAGAGGCTAACAGAGTAAACAGGAGCAAACAAGAGCTAACAGGAGCTAACAGGAGCTAACAGGAGCTAGCGAGAGAAACCTGGGTGGGAAGTGTGCAGCTAATAGAACACAACAGCTAACAGCTCTTTGGCGCTAACAGAAACTGTAGCTCAAAGACGCTAACCGGAGCAGCAGCTGAATTCTTGAGCATTTTTCTGGTTGATTATCAGTCAGCAGGTCTGTTTACACGTTTAAAACTAAACGAGGCGTTTCAGACGATAGCGTCGGATCACGTCACGTAATAACTCAGGTGCTCAGTGACATCACTCACAGTCCTGCTGCTCATTGGTCCACGCCGACCAGGCGGCCGCGCGGCTCTTCACGTCCACCTGATTGGCCGACGCTGGCGGCTCGGGGGCGGGGGCGGCGGGGGGAGGGGGGATGGCGCCGTCACTCTTCAGGATCATCCTGCGGACAGAATCAGCCAATCAGCTGCCAGCGTGAGAACCCGGCTGAACAAGGAGGCAGACGATTGGTTCTTACTTCAGAGCCTCCGGCCGCTTCTTGACTTTGCCTCCTTTGGCATCGATCATGGCACTCTCTATGTCGGCGTGGATCAGGTTCGCCTGCCGGATGGTTCGTACGGGTTAAATACAAACAGGAAGTCTGCAGTTCAACCCTAACCCTAGATTTTCAGAATAAAAGCCTCGCCTACAGTCCATCCTTTACTGTTTATATGTGACGAATCTTTTTAAATGATTTTAAACAGGTTTTAGACACATTCTGTAATCAGATGTTCAGATTTTAATCTTTAGTTGGAGCAACGCTTCAGTGTTCATGAACCTCAGCTATGTTCAGACTTTTCTCTGTTTTACTGCAGCGGTTCCACGTCGTGGTTCTTTCTGCTTCTACTGGACCATTATCCATTTGTCCGACTCTTTCTGTGGTTTTCTGATCGATGGTTTACATTTTGGTCTTCTGTGGAAGCTGCTGGTCCAAACGATCGTTAGATATTTTTAATGAGATGTCTGAAACCATCGCAGCAAATATTGAAACAGAACAACTTCACCCAACGGATCTTTGTTCCTGTTAAGCTTTGGTTCTGGTTAAACTTCCCACCTTGATGTCGTCGCACTGGAACAGGTGCAGGTCCGGTTTGGTCTGACCCGACTCCTTACACACCAGAGCCAGGATGGAGTCGTAGCTGCAGGCGTTCATCACGGCCTGGCAGTGCTGCACCGAGCCGATGGGGAAGTTCTCCAGCTCGTTCTGCAGGAACCGGGTCAGAACAATCCGATCAGACGCAACAACAGAACCACAAAACCTGCAGGCGGGTTTCAAAGACTCGTAGAAAGATCTGTATCTGTACCGGTACCACTGAGTCTCACCTGTCGGACCAGGTATCGGTAACTCACCTGTCAGACCAGGTACCGGTGACTCACCTGTCGGACCAGTTACCAGTGAGTCTCACCTGTCGGACCAGGACCAGGCACCAGGGACTCACCTTTGTCTCCAGGTCGATCAGGCTGACCGTCTTCTCCTCCACCTGCAGCAGAACTTCCTGGGTCCAAACCTTCCCCTTGGCGTCCAGCAGCCGCAGACGCCTGATCCCGTCGTCCACCGTGATCATCCCGTCCTTACGGTCCAACACGAAGGTGGTGAGGTGCTGATCAGAACCAGGAGGACAGAATCAGAACCAGAACCTTGAGGGTTTTTCTGTCCTAGTTTCATTCTACCTGTTCAAACTGTGGTTCTGTTGGTTGACAGTTTTTGTCTGTTTTCTTTCTAATGAAGCACAAACAGTTCTGTGTGGTTCTGTAGGTCCAATGGTGCGTTTCATGGTTTAATGATTTATTTATATGTGACGTGTTTTAGTGTTTTCTACCATTTAAATGATGTTTTTATCATTTTAACGACATGTTTGGTTTTTAACCGTTTATTTGGTTTCCTACAGTTTAAACAGTTTTTGTGTTTTTTACATTTTAAACGGTGAAACGTAAAAACGATAAAATCTTTTAGCGTCAGTTTGACAAACTGCTGATGAAGAACTTAATCGTGTTTAAATAAAGTTGATTGAATGAAGCTTCATCATCAGGAAAACTTAGATCTGATAAAGACCTGAAACAGTGAGACGATAACAATAGTAATAACAACAGTACTGTGAGTGGCAGCGCCCCCTACTCACCTCCACATGGTACTGCGACGTGTCCGTCAGGCTGTTGATGCTGGTCTTGGTGTAGTTCTTTCTTTGTTCTGGTAGAAACAGCAGAGCAGCTCATCAGCGTTCTCATTCTGGTGAACAAGCTCAAAGAAAAAGGACTCAAAGCGTCCCCCCAGGATCCTGGATGTGACTGAAGCTCTGAATCTGCAGCAGCCGAAGCTGCTTTCTTTAAAAAAATAAATAAATTCATTTGTGAAAATGTGCAGCGAGTCAAAAACCGTGTAACAAGAAATAACAGGTGGATTCAGAACGACCTGACGTTTAGCCGAGACGCAGAAAAAATAATAAACAAAAACTAATTAATCCAAAAAATCACAAAGGCTCCAACTGAACATTCAAACTGATCAGAAACAAAGTTCAATACAAATTAATGTTCATCTGTTATTCTAAGAAACAATAAAATATAGAATAATTTTGTTTTAAAGAAAAAGACTCAAAAGTTTCACAAAAATTTAATAAAAATGTTGAATATTGTGTAAAAGTTGTAAATCTGCCTCAGACTGCTGCAGAAGGTGATCTGCTGAGAACAAACATCCTCTAATGATTAATTATAATGATAATTAATATGAACGAGGTCCTGGTGGGACGCTGAGCTGATGGGACACGTTCTGGAGGACACAGAACACAGACACGTGACGGAACAGAACTGTGGTTCTGAAGTCCAGCTGAAAACACAGACATCTGCTTATCTTCATACGTTGATCAGAGATCAACATGTGAGCTGGTTTCAGCTGGACTTCAGGGGGACGGAGGGTTAGGAGCTGTCTGGAGGTTGT